TGATTGTCTTGCAGATATCCTTGGCGGAAGTGTGGGTTTGTTCAACAACTACAATTTATGTCATATCAAGACCATCAACTGGGACGAGATCATAACGGGGCCAGAAGCCAAGTACGTTTACGTGTACAACTTCTCATTGCCAGAGCGATCTTGCTTGCCGTGCCACAACAGCTGCAAACAAGGTTGTTGGGGCGAAGGCCCTGAGAACTGCCAGAGATTCTCCAAGATCAATTGCAGCCCTCAATGTTGGCAGGGCCGATGTTTCGGCTCCAACCCTCGTGAGTGCTGCCATCTGTTTTGTGCTGGTGGCTGCACGGGACCGAAACAGAGTGACTGCTTGGTGAGTGAATCTTAAACATCTTTCTCTGTGTGGCCTTTATTCATGACTTTACTGACAAATGGTCCTTGAAAATTACCGTCTTCTGGGATGCTGCACCGTGCAGTCTTCTAGAAGTTGGTCGATGTTTCAGGGGGCGCTTACCCCCTTCATCAGGAGATCAGTAATCAGCTCTAAAATGTTGGCCTTTGTTTTTCAGATAGGTCCAGGAATTAATATTCGTTGTTGATTGCGAAATGAACTTGTTCCAGGCATGTCGTAATTTCTACGACGATGGCGTCTGTACTCAGGAGTGTCCGGCTATGCAGCGGTACAATCCAACAACTTATTCCTGGGAAGCAAATCCACAGGGCAAATACGCGTATGGGGCTACGTGTGTCAAGAAATGCCCAGAGCATTTGTTGAAGGACAACGGAGCATGCGTAAGAAGTTGTCCTCCCAAGAAGAAGGCTGAAAATGGCGAGTGCGTTCCCTGTGATGGGCCCTGTCCCAAAACTTGTGACGGTGTCAACGAAATACATTCTGGTAACATTGACGGCTTCCGGGACTGTACCATCATTGAAGGTTCTCTTACAATCCTTGATCAGTCGTTTAGGGGATTTCAGCAAGTGTACCATAACTTCAGTTTTGGCCCTCGGTACCAACAGATGCATCCGGATCGTCTCGAGGTGTTCAGTACGCTGAAGGAAGTGACCGGATACGTGAACATTCAGGGCGAACATCCTGATTTTACAAACCTATCATATTTTCGGAATCTGGAGACTATCGGAGGGCGAGCTTTGACTGAGTATTTTGCTTCACTGTACATTGTGAAGACGTCCCTCAAGTCTTTAGGTTTACGATCACTCAAGAAGATTCACTCTGGTAGTGTGGCCATCTTGGAAAATAAGGAGCTGTGCTTTGCCCAGGGCATCTCGTGGGACAAGATTAAGAAGTCGAGTGAACATGAAACCATGCTTCAGAATAATAAGCCACGGAGTGATTGCGGTAAGTCTTTGAGTTTCATCCACGCAACTGAGGAAACATCATTGAAATAATTCACAAATCAATAATTAATAATAATTCTATTATCTTAGAATAGGCTGTGGCTACTTGACACTGCATTCTTTACAGCTCTTAATTCGCACATGGACCAAAATGAACGAAGGTCGTGTCGGCAGGCGGAAGACGGAACTCAGGATTTCTTTTCTTGTTTCCAGAAAAAGCAGGCCTGGTGTGTGATGCTGAATGTTCTGAAGAAGGGTGTTGGGGCGCAGGCCCTGATCAGTGCCTCTCCTGTGCACATTTTCGGCTTGGTAACCGGTGTTTGCCAGACTGTGACTCTGTTTCGGGGTAAATACCGTTGTCATACATTGACTTACCAGAAAGCTCTTTGGATACCTCTCAGATATAATTACTGTGTTATGTTTTTTTCTTTTTTCCTATGCTACCAGAGACGCAATTCAAGGTAAATTTTCTACAACTCGTATCAGCTGACATTTTTTCCTTATTATTTGCTCATTCTGTACATTTATTCGTTCTCTGTTATGGACTGATGTTAACTGTAGGATTTTTTTATTGATGCTTTGATCTCGTCTTCCAATCCTACTTGCTCCATCCGATCCCCTGTACCAGAAACTTTATTACGATCACTAAAATCACAAAAATCTACGCAATTTTTGAGACCAAAGATGGCTGCTGTCCTCTGGGTCATAGCACCGTGAAGTCTAGTAGAATCACCCTGATGATTGAGGCAGCAAATACGTCTGTAATGCTGGTAAACATCTACCAGTTGTTTGGCACTGGACGTTCTGTTGACTGATGCGTGTTTCTTTACAGTATGTACAAAGCAGCAGAAGCAAATGTGTGTATGTTCTGCCATGACGAATGCAACTCGACATGTCACGGGGCAGGCCCAGGGAACTGCACTGGCTGTAAACACGTCAAAGACGGACCCTTCTGCATACCAGCCTGCCCCACCGGCAAGTACGACGACGCCGCAGGGGAATGCCAGCCCTGCCACGAAAACTGTGTCGATGGCTGCAGAGGCCCCGAGAACGCCATCGGTCCGAATGGCTGCAATTCTTGTGAGAAAGCCATCATCAATGGAGATGTTAATGTGGTAAGTACATCGGTTGGCAAAAGTGTAGCTCCCAAATTTCCTCACGATGTGGCACCGGTCCCATACACTGGTCTAAAGCTCATGAGGAAATTTCTTCTCCCCCGAGACTCGAACCAGCGCCGGTCCGAAGCATGACAGGTGTCCGGGCTCATACTTTCGCATTTTATCGAAACGAAAACCACAGAAATCATTCTTACATTCCAGGAGAGCTGTCTAAGGAAGAACGAATCGTGCCCAGATGGTTACTACTACGAGTGGGTAGGCCCACAAGAGCAAGGAGAACTGAAACCTCTGGCAGGCAAAGCCGTTTGTCGGAAATGTCATCCTCGGTGTCGCATCTGCACGGGCTACGGGTTTCATGAACAGGTCTGCCAGGAATGTATGCAGTACAAACGAGGGGAGCAGTGCGAGGACGAATGCCCTCAGGATCACTATGCCGAAGAGGCGACTCAGGAGTGCGTCCAGTGCCATTATGAGTGTCGGGGCTGCCGCGGTCCCGGTCCTTCCAACTGCGATACCTGCCGCAATTTTAAAATATATTTGGTATGTAAGGTGATGAATTGCCTGAATTATTTTGGTCTTGTGGTAACTGGAAGTATTTTCGTAACAAAATATTCCGCATTTTATATATTTTTTGGTAACGTGACCTAATTATTCCTGCGTCGTGTTTCTCTCGCTGACTCTGCCTTTGTTCACTGCCTGTTCCCGCATCGATCTCTCCAGCAATTTTAATGTTGTGTAAGAGTTAGAGGTGTGTTATCATTCAGAGGTTCTTTCTCTGCAGGGTGGAGGAAAAGGTGACAATTCTACGGCATTCAACTGTACGGGCACGTGCCCTTCTGAGGTGCCCCACAAGATTTTTTCTCAGGACGGCAATGACGAACCATTCTGCTCAGTTGAACCTTTTGGACAGTCTTCTATGTTGTAAGTATAAAAATGTGTCTTTCCGCTTAAGATTCTTGAGTTCCTCATAGTTTAACCCTTTGCGGTCTCTGTCGGACCGAGTCCGAAATTTAAATACCCGCGTTCCGGTTCGATGTCGGACTGAGTCCGCCGCGTATTTTACGAATATTTTACGTGATCTGGAGTCAAACTGAGGCTGGAAAACAGTGTCAGTATATCATTCAAGCCTTCTTTTTCCCACTAGTTCTATCCTATTGTTCTGAAACCTGTCCAAAAAAAGCCAGGAATCCACACCAAGTGTTTTGTTATACATCATATAACGAAGGAACACGGTCGTGTGTGTAGCTGTCATATTTACTTTGATTAGAAGTATTTTATATCTGATAAAATTATAAAAAAAATATTCCATCTTCCCAGTAGGAAATTATATATTTTTTAAAATTATTTTTGGCGTGTAGAGCAATCTACCACTGACACGTGCGTATTATTTCGTCGTCATACCAAGCATTCTGTTTCACTTTCCTTGTGTTGAACTTGGTCTTCATATTTCGAACGCAATCATCACGAAAGAAAGCACAGCTCTGAGAGTAAGAAATCCAATGCAGAATGCAATAAGAGATGTTTACGTCGCCAAAGTCTTATCTACCGAATTGGGGCTTGCTTTGTACTCTACAGGACGACAGACAGCAGAAAGGCACCACTTATTTACGCAACTCACTAGCCACAGTGGTACAGTCTGTGAAAAAAAATATTTCACAGTGTCAGTATTCAAACGAGAGGAACTGTGATCCTCCCAGAACGTATTTTCACCATATTTAGCAAAGTGTCTTCCGTTTTATGCAAGTTAAAATTAAAATCATAACAGTTCGTAATAGTTGCATTTAAATAGAGCCATAGTGTACTTAGAAGGGATGGAAAAGGGTTAATCTCACCTGGACTGATAAATATAATTTATTTAACTTGTATGTAGCATAGGCCAAGAGACGCTAATATGAAATTCATTCATTACCATTTTCACAAAAGCCTGTCACTTTTATGTCCTGAGCCAGATAAATCCAATCTGCACCCTCCAATCCAATTCCTCTAAGATTTGTTTTAATGTGATTCTTACGCCGGGGCAAACGATGTCCAAGACGACGGATGGCATTTGAAGAGAGTTTTTTTTCTGACAAAAAATGTGTGTGTTCTAACAGCGGGGAAACAGACAACATGCCCGCGATTCTGGGAGGCGTGTTGGTGTGCGTCGTGCTCGTCTTAATCTTCCTGGCCGTGGTGATCTGCCAGTGGCGTCAACGAGCGAAGTCCAAGGAGAATACAGTGAAGATGACGATGGTATTGACAGGCTTGGAGGACAACGAACCTTTGCACCCAACGAATGTTAAACCAAACCTTGCCAAACTTCGGATAGTGAAGGAGGCAGAGATGCGCAAAGGCGGCATCTTGGGTTACGGTGCCTTCGGCACTGTCTTTAAGGTAAGAAGGTTCTCAGACTGTTTCATGAAGGCAGCGTGTTGATGAGTCAATGACTACCATTACGAATTAACTCCATGGCTGCCCATTTTTATTTCAAAACATCTCCATAATAATATTTTTTTGTATGTGCCAGTCCCCCCCCCCCCAATTTTCACTAAAAGTTTAAAATTTGAATCTGTGTATTGTGAGCTACCGAATAAGCATCACTAAATAAACTACAAACTGCTACGTGCATGAAGAATATGTGTTCTGATTTACAGGGTGTGTGGCTTCCGGACGGTGAAAATGTGAAGATTCCCGTAGCGATCAAGGTCCTACGCGAAGGTACGGGTGCCAACACGAGCAAAGAGTTCCTCGAAGAAGCCTACATCATGGCGACAGTGGAGCATCCGAATCTTCTGAAGCTCCTGGCCGTGTGCATGACGTCACAGATGATGCTCGTCACGCAGCTAATGCCTCTCGGCTGCTTGCTCGACTACGTGCGGAGTCACCGGGACAGGATCGGGTCTAAACCTCTTCTTAACTGGTGCACGCAGATTGCCAAAGGTAAGTCTGCGTGTCTCACAATAAGCGGTCCGGCTCGAGCGTTAGGTCTCAAATTCATTTGTAGATTCTGTCGTAATAATTAAGATGATAGAGAAAAGAATTTGTATAAAAATAGGGTGTGATCTTGTGGACTGGATTCAACTGGCACAGGTTAGTGTCCGCAAGGCTCCTTCTTCTTTCTCATCTCCCATTTTTGCCTTTGTGGCGTCGGGGTTGATCGCTCGGTCCACCTCCTCCATTCCTTCCTATCCCTTGCTAAGAATTTCATCTGCGTTAAATTTTTCCCCTTTGCCTGTCCTATTTCTCTAATCGTATCAAAGTAGCTCTTTCTAGGTCTTCCTTTTGTACCCTCGACTCTAGCTTCCAAAAACTGTTTCGTCTTTCTTTCATCCGCCATTCGAACGTGTCCAAACCATTTCAGTTGCTTTTCTTCCAGTTTTGTTTTTAAGTGATTTAATTCCCACCTCGTCTCTAATTTTGGTGTTCCTTATCCTGATTTTCTGAGACATTTCATTTCCGCCGCCGTAACTTTACATGAATATTCATTTAAGTTTGGCCGGCTCCCTCGGTTCTGTAACTGATTGGTAGAATTGTTTTTTGGTTTTTATATTCAGTTCTTTCTTTCCAAATATTTTATTGTTTAATTGGTAATAAGCATTATTTGCCTTCTTTACCCTATTTAGGATCTAATTATCAGTTTTCTTAGGTTCCTACTTGTTCCAATTTCTCATTTCCACATCTCTTTCATCCTGTTCTAATACGTGTCTCCCAATTTTCATAACTTTACTTTTAGTACTATTTATTTTTAGGATTCCGCTGTTAGCACGATGTCATCTGCATATATTGGTGATTTTGTCAATAAACTAGTTCTGCTCCACGGGTTAAAATCTTATTAAAATCTGCAGTAAATTAAACACGTCAAAGAATATAGTTTATTTCATATTCAGACATCTTGATGGAAGTTACGCTTCTTGACGACCTTAACTGATTCCTATCAAACTTTTTCTGCTTTTGGCAAGAATTTTTTAGCTTTTTTTTTACAACATTTATTAATAACTGGTTATGGACTTGTAATTTGTCTAAAATGATAGGAAAGTACTTATTTTTTTGTTTGTTGCAGGCATGGCATACTTAGAAGAGAAACGCCTGGTACACCGAGATCTTGCTGCACGAAATGTGCTCGTGCAGACCCCAAACTGTGTTAAAATCACGGACTTCGGTCTAGCGAAGCTGCTCGATATTAACGAGGACGAGTACAAGGCTGCTGGCGGCAAGATGCCCATTAAATGGCTCGCTCTGGAATGCATTCAGCATCGGATATTCACTCACAAGAGTGACGTCTGGTCTTTTGGTAAGCTGTACATTGGAAATTGAGACGATGGTGGATAATGGCCAAAATAATGTTCTTAGTAACTGGACCAGCACAAAAATGGCATGATTTTTCAGTGTAAGACAGATGAATCCACCAACAAATAACCACAGACAAATAATATTTGACATTTGATTGTTCTTATAATGGATTTATTTATTTATTCTCATGTTGGCTTCTTGTAAACTGACGGAGGTGGTTTCTTACAGGCGTCACAGTTTGGGAACTGCTGACGTACGGAGAACGTCCATATGATAATGTTCCTGCGCGTGATGTGCCAGAGTTGTTGGAAAAGGGCGAACGGTTGCCTCAGCCAGAAATCTGTACGATAGATGTGTACATGATCATGGTTAAGTGTTGGATGCTGGACGCGGAGAGTCGGCCCAATTTCAAGGAGCTCGCCGATGAGTTTGCTAAAATGGCTCGAGATCCCGGTCGGTATCTTGTGATCCAGGGTGACCGTTTCATGCGGCTTCCGTCCTACTCGTCCCAGGTACGAAATGTAAGTCGGCTCCTCATTTTTACTTTTGGTTCTTAGTATATCTACGTTTTGCGAGGGTATTATGGCGCTGTTTGTTGTAGCACACGAGTACCAATGAATAGCAGCCCATTTTTCTGCATCACAAATCAGCACCATTAAATTCACTTGACTGCCTGCACTATATAGGACTTCCAGAAACATTACATTTATCCTGAAGATGGCAGCTGCTATGTTTACCGAAAAGTTTGATAATATTCAACATTTGATGTGGCCTAACCTTTAAAGCTGATGTTATGCATCAAACTGCATCTGTGAAAACCTAAGGACAAGAAGGTTAAAATAACCTAAAAACTTATGACGTAACCTCGGCCATTTGCAGGATGAGAAGGAGCTTATCTGCAACCTCTCACCAGCCGTGGATGGACCTGAAGCCCTTGTGGATGCTGACGAATACCTCCAGCCTAAATCCCGCACTCCGCTCGCACCAGCACTGACAACTTCTAGCTCCTCCTCGTCTCCGCCGCGCACGCCTGTCAAGACGTGCTGGCCTGCGGGTACACCCGTGCCTGCCGAGTCTCCTACACCGCAGAATCAACAGAACTGGGACCGAGAGCAAATGCGATACGCAAGTGTGCATCCCGATGACGTACGCGCTACAGTGATGCGACATCACAACGGACAACCGGCCCATCATCACCATGGTTCTGAGAGTAGTAGCTCCCGCTACTGCAGTGATCCTCTCAAGATGGTTGGAAACAGAGGTAAGTTCAATCTCTCGTCGTCCTTGCAACTCGGGAAACCAGTCTGTAAAAAGAATGGTAATGTGTACAGAAATTGAAATGTATTTCTTGCAATTTTTTCATCTAATGAATCGTACCATATGTACGTATTGATTTTATTTCTAGTAATATCTGCAAGTTGATTATACTCGTCGTATTGGCAATGGTTCGTGTTTAATTGAGTTGCAATACAACATTACACATCGTTGTAGATTGTGACGTGCCACAAGAGGACTGTTTTGATTCTGGAGCGGTAACGGGAAACGGTCGGGAGGCGCAAGTGGGCGGACTCAAGCTGGACCTGCCACTAGACGAGGATGATTATCTGATGCCCTCAGCCCAGCAGAACCAAAATAATACCACGTACATGGATCTTATTGGTGATTCCAGACTACCAGGTTAGTTTATTAAACTTTGTAGTATTTGAAATATCAGGCAATTGAATATACTGAATTGTTTGTTTTCTCGCGTGATGATTCTTTGCTCATTTTCCCAAATCATTTAATTCAGTTAAATTTATGAAAGTAAGATTTATATATATATAACTTTCCACCACTTACTGATTTTGTATTAAATTTATTCATGTGTCATACCTGCTCTGCTACTTTTGTAATGGAACGTCTCTTAGTTTGGTAGTCGCTGACATGTTAGAATGATAAAATGATAAAGGAGTGGAATGTACTCAATTTGTGGACCCCTTACGCTCATCCCTAACAAATTCTGCCTGTTGTAGACAATGCTGAACCACGGAATGGAGTCTTCAAGCCTGGTTTATTCCAACTGGGTGGAATTTCCAAAACGAGCGTCGATAACCCAGAATACCACATAATGAACACTGACATTCCTGTGCATCAGAACGTGGATACAATAGGCATACCGACCGGCACAGACGCAACTCACGCTGCATGCAATGGGAACATTGCTGGGCAGCGACCGTGTGTAATGCAGCAGAAATCATCAGAAGAGGAGTCGGATCATGAATATTACAATGACTTTGACAGGCTGCAGCGAGAGTTGCAGCCCCTGAAGCCACTACGAAGAAATGAGACCACAGTGTGATAGTTAAGTGATCCTAATGGGGAAGAAGGCGCGTGCGGATTGCAACGCAAGGTTCAGACACGTAATGTTACAGGATACGTGGAACTGTGTAAAGTGAGTAGACATCTGCTGTACTGACTTCGTCGTGTTCGTCCGTAATCTTGGTTTGTGACTGAAATGAACGGAACCTTCCAGAAGTTCGTTCTTGTGGTCGAAGCAGTCGTGACCACAGTGGGGCTCACAGTTACGTCATGCTCGTGGTGATAGTGACAGTACCAGTTTGCGGTATCACCACCGCATACTATGAACGTTAAAGAATTGACAGTTATTTTATCCCATTAATATTACAGTTGACGGATCATGACGGGTGATTGACTGTAATAAAGAAAAGACTAAGGAATTGTTCCTACTCAGCTTCTTTTTTCTTTTTTTTAAGAATGCAAAACACATCAGAACTCAATTTTAGGGAAATATGAGGTAATGAAGCCTTGAAACCCTGTTAGGAAAATATGAATAGTATTTTTAATGATATCAGGAAACAGGAATTTTTTTAAAATCAGTTTATAGTGCAAACAAGTCTTATTGTGCCATTGTGGCTTGTATATTGTTTTATATAAAACTTATCATCTTATGTTTTGTGGTCAAAATGCATGGACATCGCATGCACGTTTCTTAGGATAAGTTCTTAAATCTCAAAAATATATTTTCAAGCAGGATGGTGTGCGGATAGAATTAATCTGAAATGGCGTTCTGTCTAAATTATCAGATTGATCATTGACAAAATTGTACCAGAATCTGGAAGGTAGTAAGAATATTCCCAGTGCTGCACATGGATTCAAATATTTAATATTAAGAGCTTTTGGCACACGAGGGATTACTTTTCTTCAAAGGGCAAAACTTGGCCTTCATGATGAAGTTCAGGTATAACTTTAGACTGTGGTACCCGATTTGAACTCTCTCCTCCTCCTCCTTCTTTTTCTTCTTCTATGGCTTCCCGGTCCGTATTTGGTCCATGGCCTCCTCAATTCTCCTCTTCCATTTGGTCCTTCTGTTAGGTCCGTCTGTCCGAGGCTTTGATCGAGGTTTCGAAACATCTTCCTTTTCACGGTGCAAGGTTGTTAGCCTTGCGACCAACCCCCAACCTGGAGGACCAGGGTACCTGTCTTAGTCTGACCTCTCCCCCTCGACCAATCTGGCTAGGGAGGCCCTACCAGTAGCTCTTGGGGTCACTGAGGTACTCGAGCCCAACCACCACGACAAGGTGCAGGTGCCATTAAGTGGGGAGCAGTTCTGATCTTCATTTTAATTTCCCTTGAAGCACACTATCCTGCAATCGAGACTTTTGACTGTGATACTTTTTATATTAAAGAGATATGTAATTTTTCTCTTACTGTAATGTCCAGCAGTACATGAGTTGGAAAAGCTGTAAAGCAGGAGAATCATTTAATGTCTCTCTCTGGGACCAATGTTATACTTCGGAGACACGTACACTCCATTTTCAGAGAAGAATAGCTCTGAGGGAAGCTATTGCAAATATCATATAGCTAATAATCAAAGTAACGAGGAGATAAAACCAGATAGAGTATTTGAAAGTCAAGAGGAGTGCACAGGGATAAACAAAAAATAAAATTGACCGACACGGAGAAAGGCGGGCGATGCGGAGACGGCGAGAGATAAATACGCAGTCTGCTTCATGCCTTGAGTACCAGAATAGTATCTGGCTTGTGAAGGCACGTGCAGAAGAATAAGAAATTTAGCCGCGTTGTTTGTGTCATTTTAATCATTATAAGGATCTATAATGACGCTGAAGTAAAACTTGGTTCGTGCGAAGACTTTCGGTGCGGTGGGCTACAGTTTTGAGCTCAGCACGTGCAGCATTATAAAAGTATATTTCTAGTACAAAATGACGAACAGTTCCTGAATTAGGACCCCGTGCTTACCACCATCAGCTGGAAGGTACTTGTGCATAATTTTTGTTTTTATTTTCATGTGATTATGGAGCCCTCGTACTGTCAAAAGGAATGTTTGTCCCAGTCCATTCCTGTTCAGCGATGGACTGGAGAAAATCCAGTTCGAAAAGTATGTTTTAAAAGAGAAGTGTCATTCCATTTTATGATGTATGATATGAAAATATTTTACGAAGTGTTTTACAGAAGATAGTCAGTGCCATTATTTTTCCAATCGTGGGTTAAGCATTTGGTCTCGTTAATTTTTATACACGGTTTACTTACTGAAGTACGTTAATTATAAGTAAAAATTACTGTAAAAATAGTTTAATTAAATTAAATATCTGTTTTAATTTGGAATATTATTACTATGAAATGGAAATAAACTGTGTATCTCTCAAAATACAGGGGGATTAGTAAGCGATTCTATTTAGGAAGTGAAACAGCAAACATATGATGGTGATAGTTGCTATGGTTGTATCTGACATCCAGTAGGTCAGAATGCCTGTTACAAATGTTATAGCTGATACTTGCTAATCTTATGAACGTGTGTTACGGTGCTGTGCCGAGAACTTGACTGTTATCGCAACAGAGAACAGACAATTCTTTGAAATGTGCTATTGAAATTGGCTACCGTATTTGTGCTGCAGTGTATTTTTAAATGGTCAAACAGAATTATTTTAATATTTGACTTCTCACACTCTCCCTTGACTGGCTAGCAAATAAATTATAATCTGAGATGTTTTTCTTATATTTCCAGTAGCTAAGTGTTTATTCTGAGCCAGAATTATTATAAATGTTCAATGTTCCTGGGTTGACAATTGCAGTTTTGGGTTCAAGTCTCTTGGAACGAGCTTTGTGTATCTCCAGACACTAATTATATTTGATCAAAATTGAGAAATCTCCAAATTTTTCTGGCTAATAGAGGATAATACCTTGTTTATCACTAAAAATATGCTAGTGATAAATGTAAACTGTACGTTCTGGAATATCCAAGCCAGGTAAAATTCTTGTCATAATCAGTTCATTTACAGGAAAGAAAATCTTGAAACTTGAGTCTTCAGGCAATGAAAACCATCAGTTGCAGCTATAGCTAATATTCTCAGCACACAATTCCAGGTACCGTACATGCAAAAAGAATTATGAGTGTTTAACTGTACTACAGGTTTGAAAATCTCCAGAAATAGCCACTTTTTTGCAAGGATCATCATATGTATTGGTTGTGGACAATATTGTACCTATTGCTATATTTGTAATAAAGACATAAAAATTACAGAAAACTTGTCTCCTTCGTCCATTCCACAGGGCTTCGTTCTTCCCACATACGAAAAAGTGTGAGAAAGGTAACAAGTATTGTTATGCTTTATTTGTAACAAACTTTCAAGATAAAACTCTCAGAATTAAATGCCTTTTTTTATAACTGCATAAAGTTCAATGAGGATTGATCCTCACATTTTCATCAATTACAGCAATAGATTGAAATCTGGTTTTATTTAAAACCACAATTTAACCAAAATATTAGGCGTATTTAAACCCTCAAATTCAACATTCGTATTTAAATTATGTAATTTATGCTTTCGTTTGCTTGGTAGTGACATCTGACGATTCAATCTGTAGCAGCATGAAACGTCATAGAAAACGAGGTAACTTAAGTAGCGATGTCTTCCGGACAGCCATATGTACTACAAGCGCATATCTATTCATGTACTTGTTACTTGAGCTACTGCCGTACCTCCAACTTCGTTGTAATATTGCCAATGTTGGACCGACAGATGGCAGCACGTATGGAGGTTACGTTGCCAGCCAATAGCATAGCGTTGCACTAATCCGCTGAAAGTCGATAGTAGTTAATGTTCTGTATGTCGATACTATGCGTCATTGCCTTGTGGTGACACCTGACGACAGCTATTTTTCGTAAATTCAAGATGGCCATCGGCCAGTGATGTTGGTGTTCCGTGTGTATGTTAAGTGATAACTGTTTAATTTATGTGTGTTATTGAATGGATTGACCATGGCTGAATTTAATATTGACATATCCAAACTCCCGGAGGACGTGAGGGACAAATTAGCAGAATTGGACCTAGAATTATCTGAAGGTAAGCTCCATACCTTTTGGTTTGACGAAATCATTATAGTGAACAACGAAATTCGTGTGTTTTAATCAATAATTTATCTTCATTGCGCTGTGCAGAATGAATTTTTGACAGTTTTACAAAAATGTAAGACCATCTCCTGTGTAATATTACACTTTAATGAGTATACTTTATTCATATTATACAGTTAATGTGGATTGATTTAGCACAAGTTAATTGATGAAGAATATATAGTTGTGTCCTGTTAAAGTGACCTGTCAAGTTTAGATTTGAACTTTTTGTTGCCTTGTTCTCATGTTTTATGGTCCATGACCTACGCATACAGACTGTTATCTTATTGACATGATCAGTTGTGTAGAATATCTCAAAACGTGGACATCAGTGTTGCACTGTGTTGCCATATTACTGATGTTTTGAGATTCTATTTGTAGCCCCATTAGAAATTTGTTTTGTTCACCAGTTCCATATATATATATGAAACATAATGATTGGTAGAAATATTGTCATCTAAACGTGCATGCCTGGTTAAATAGTACTGCCACTCCCCCACTGCCATGTTATTGTATTTTGTAATATAAAATTAGGGTCTGCTTATAATTTACATTTCTAACTTGTAAAGTGGATGTGTGTTCATTTAGATTACAAGCATTGTGTCTTGTTAATCAGTATCAATTATTGAAGTTCATTGTATAAAGGAAACAAGAATAATCCGTTGCATCTGATATAAGAGCTGTACAATAAACCTCTTCAACTTTTTCTTGGAAATTATTGTCCTTATACATTGTTCATAATCTTGGTTCTCTGTTTGATAAGAAAAGGTGGGTGTTTTGCCATCAGCAGTGCCATGTGCTGGGTACCTGACCTGTTGTGATACACCTTTGTCCACATGCAATACTTGGCTCTGTTTTGCACCAAATAAACAAACACAGGGCATTTTTTAATCCTAGTTTTGTTTGTTGTGGGTTATTTAAAAACGTTATAAACGAAAGAATGTGTTTGTTAGATAACGCCCTGCAGCCTTGTAGGTCGTTATCAATGTATTGGGGGAACGTATCTCCTCCATCTTGAGGGTTGAAGTTGACGAGTTTAACACCTTTAAAGCCCAGTTAAACAGCATTAACCAAGTGATCTTTGAAATTGTTACGTTTTGTGTTATCTTTTACTCATCGGAATTGATTCGTAAGTATTATTCAGACGAGTTTCGTCGTCAAAGGGGCTAAGTTGGTTTTTCTAATGGACGTGATGTCACTAAATGTTTGCCGTGTGATTTATTAAGGGAATATCGCATCCATATTTGCATCCACTGCGGATTAAACGTACTTTGCTGTTTTCCTGGATAGCATTGTTTTTGTTGGATACGACGTAATTAAATGGCGGTTGGTGAGGATTACGAAGGAGACCGTAGTAACTTATTTAATTTGCAACAATTTTGTGGTAAGATCTTAGGTTCTGACGGATGAGAATAGAAACATTACTGTCTTCTGGGATGTTATTCCGCGTAGTTTGGTAGAAGTTTACCGACGTTTTCGTGGTGATTATGGATGCTGTGTGCATCTCTGAAACGTCGGCACACATTAGACACACTTCTGATCAAAAACAATGTTGTTTAATTCAAGCTCGATGATTGCATTGCGTCATTTGATTCCGTAAATGTAATGCAGAGTTAATAATATCGCCTGAGGGTGAAAGTTATTGTGTGTGGACTGAAAATAAATTCTAGAATGCAGGGAGACTTTTTTTTTTCTTCCAACGGACTGAGAATAAAAGACAAAAACCGTGTA